ACCCCGGACGTACGCTGTACGATTTTTCAAACACGCAGCAACAGCTCAGACTGTACGACTAAACTGCAGAGTTTAAAAGTTCCCAGCTCACGATGTTTGTTCTCTCACTGTGCGACCCGACGTTCTGATGCGATCTACCTGCTCAGCTCCGCAGTGAGATGGAGCTACTCGGACTCGTCTATCCGGAAGCCAAACCAGTAGCAGAGGAACATGAAGCTCACTAGAGGGAAACGCGCTGCCTTGGATATTTGGGCAATTTAGTGCTGGAAGCCCTAAAAAGAAAAGGCGACGACGTATTTGGACAAAGACATGGCTGAGAAAATGTTTCGGCCTGAAAAGGGCAAAAAAATTGTACATTGTACGTCCGGCTTTAGGCGTCTAACGTTCAATCCCTGGTTTCATTTTCATCTTCTCCTTTAATGGCTGTCGGTGAACAACCTTGGGTGCATTACTGCCACCATCTGGTAAGGAGTGGAACAGCTAGCTGAGCAAACATGGCTACTACGGTCTGTCAGTTTTACAGAAAGAACTCCATTTCACTCATTGCCCCCTCGCCATGCTGCTGGGTTTTCCTCTGAGAAAAAGAAGAAGAATCCTTGTTTGCCCACGACCACCTTAAGATGGCCTCCTGAATTTTAAACGTGTGATTTTCTCCTGACCTTACGATTCCTGATGGGGAGGCGGTCGTTAGAGGCTGATCGCCCCTCGTTACCCCCTGTACAGCTACACCACGCACCATCAGGCTGAAAGTCGGCCCAATGGAAAAATTCTTGCACAATTGGAGAATCGGCACAAAGAGGGCAACAAAATCGCACAGCGTACGCCCGACTTTAGGAGCACAGAGCCTCTTCAGCTTCCAGAGACCATCTCATCACCGTGCGTTTCACAGCTGGTTCTCTGTGCACCAGGGGTTGAACTCAGGCTGGAGATGAACCAGATCGGGGTCAGAGTTCTCCAGGGGAGGGAGAGGTGATGAGCTGTATGCCTCCTTAGTGAGGCCATACAGTAGATCCAGTGTTTTATTGTTTGCATAAAGTCACACTTTCTCACAGTGCTGACAGGAATGCAAACCAACCTGTGGATGATACATTCCTGTTCATGGAGTCATGCGGTTACTGCTGCTTAGCACCAGCTCTGGATCTGGCAAGCCGCTAATACTGAACTCTGCTGCTCATCAGAACAGATATTAAAGGAAAAGTTCGGTCAGCAAGGAATAATCAATGGATCATTATTTATACCTAAAACTAATAGGTTTGCTGTGATTTAATGAATTTAGCGTTAATCAGTAAAAAAATTAAAATAATTTTCGTCCTGATCGCTGAGTCTGTGAGCGGCCATTTTTTCCCAAATATAGTAGCCCCTCCCTCCTGCCATCTTCCAGCAGTGACGTCACGGTGCGGTAAGCCTAGCGCCATTCTCCCCGCTTTCCAAGCTAAATCAATGGGAACTACTAGACACATCTGCAATCAACAACAATTATTGAAGATTTCCAGAGGACTTCACCATTGAAATTCACCAGAGCTATAGTGAAACTGACAATGCCCACGTGCATGGCAGCTGGATGCTGGAATACATCGGGGAAAAGTGAAAAAAAGAGTTATTCCACCTTTCTGATTCCTGATCCTCCACGGACGGGTTGGTCGTTGGATCGCCAACTTGAAGAGGGAGGATTTGCCATCGAACTTCTGGCCAGAGAAAAAACCCGTAATATGTAGCCAACATTTGGAAGAAGAATGTTTTCAAGATGACTTGGATAATAGCGCGTTGTGACAAACACCAGATACAGCACTGGGACTTGATCAACAGCCGATACCGCACCGTGACGTCACTAACCAGTAGGTGGCAGTAGTGTTCTTTGACAAACATGGATGCCTCCAGTAAAGCACATTCACATGAAAATTGTTCTGAATATGATCAGACCTTTCCTTTAAAGCCGCAAAAAGAAAAAAATTAGAAACAACAAATAAACAGAAAATCATGTAAAATAAAGAGTGTCGAAATGCCTTTTAAAATAAAAAAACATATATACTAGAAGGGACATTTTTGAAAGTGATTTTTTTTGTAGTTTAAGACAGATTTAAAGAATGGAAAATTGAAATTTACATTTTAAAGTTGTTTTTTTTTATATCTGTTTCAAAGTGCTGGTCCCTTTTTAAGACTCATTTTGAAGAAAACAAAAAATATTTCTGAACAAATTTTATGGCTCCGATTTAGCTCCATACCTGTTTGAATTCCGAATATGAGCGGACTTTTCCTTTAACGTCTAAACCCGTCAGGTGGTTAGTGTGGGTGAATTTTTCACACACTGGAAAAACGATCCAGAAATAAGTAAAAATGTCTTAAGTGTATTTACCCTTAATTTGAGTAGGTAAATGAGTATTTTTACTCTAAAAAAAAGATAATTAGATAAAATGCACTTGAAATAAAACAACGCAAGTGTGTTTTGTTATTTTAAATGTAAATTGTCTTGTTCCATTGGCAAAATGCTTCTTTTACCTCCTCAAATTAAGAACAAATTCACTTGTTTTAAGAAAAAATTACTTATCTAGATTTAGATTTTTTTCCAGTGCAGCGCTTCCATTAGAAATATTGATCCATATCTTTAGGATACGCTAGCATTAGCATCTCAGAATGTCAACAGCTGATCTACTTTCATGCTTATGCTGTTTTTAACTCAAAAGCAAGAGCTTCTAAAATAGATGCGAATGGCTGACAGATGGGAAAATAATATGGAACTATAATGATCCTAGATTTGTAAGAAAGGATGTGATTTAAGATTTTATACGGGCAGATTTTGTGAGATCCTTTTAACAGTCCAATTAAAATCTTTGCTTTTCTTTCAAAACTTTAACTTTAAAGTCTTACTTTAATGATCGAATGAACAGAAGAACACTTCAGGAGAAAACTAGCAAAAAATAAGAAAAAGTTAAGAGCCACTTGTTCTTATATAACAGCTAATATAGAAAAAATAAAAGCAGAATTAGAATGTCATGTTTTTAAAGATCTGTGATCAGCCAGAAAACTGCCATAGATGCGCAGCTACTAAAATCTTTATTGGTAGATTTAGAGCGATTCTTTAAACTACAATCAACCCAAAAATGCAGGAGAAAATCGTTGCCGTATGTTGAGGAGCATATCGTGAAGAGTCGATCCATTCAGCTGGTTTCGCTTAGATGAACCCGTCTGACTGGATGATCTGGATCTATAAAGTGACCTGAGATGACATGATGGGAATTGGAACTGTAGAAATAAACTGAATTGAATTTAGAGCAAATATACAATTAAAAAAATGCTTAAAACTTGCAGGGTTTATTACATTATTGGGGGGATTTTTTTATCTATTATTGAAACACATTTCGTAAACTGAAATCTGGAGAAAGATGTAACCCAGAAATGAATCTTTGAATGAAATCTTTTAATCAAAAAAGGGTTTTGAAAGTAATTTCGTAGTTTTCTCAAATTTTATTTTACATATTTTTCTTTTTTTACAGATTATATATATTTTCAAAATTTCTTTCTAGAATGACTTTTAGAAAGTGGGTTCTTTTCTAATTGTTTCACTAATAAAATGCAATTTGCAAAACTTGCAAAAAAAACAAACAAACATTGAAACTATAAAATATGGAAAAAGAAGAAAAAAAAATAGAACTTAAAAAAAATCTAAAAAAATACATTGCATTTCTAAACCATTGTCTGATTAAAACATTTTTTAAATGTAAATTTTTGATTGCAGTTTTTTTTTTTTCAAATCTCATTTACAAAACATGTTACTTGCTTGGAACAATAATGGAACAAATTTCACCCAATATAAATCCTTAGCTGGTTCCGTATCAGGAGTCGGTTCTGGAGAAGGAGTTAGCTGAAGGGGTCGAGTCGTGTTTGCAGGCAGTCGATGGTTCGTATGTGAACAAAACACTTTAAGAACGATAAAAATAAAAACATCAGAACAGACTCTCTTTATTAGGCCTTTATTACTTGCAAATACAAGAAATAGAACCACAAGTCATCAAGCTAAAGGATGCAGCAGGGCTCTGTGGAAACAGTGCATGGTCTGAATGTGATCAGGCATTCTTCAAACTAAAGGCCACCTACTTTAGAAACAACTAAAACAAAGTAAGGCAACATAGAGCTAGCAAGATAGAAGCTGTCAGTAGAGCTGAGTGGACAATGTTACACAGTAACTATCCTAAATTAATCACTTCAGTCATCAACAGGTTCGGCTCATGGGTGCGAGCGGCTTCGTTTCTACGCCGATGTTCTCCGTCCCCTTTGGCTTCTACGTACAAAGTGGATGAGGGGCTATAGGAGCAGCTGGCTGTCAGTTAAAAACACAAACTAACGGGCGACTGCTGAACACCCCCCCCCCCCGGTCAGCCACGTGTCCTAGCTTCACTTCTTAAATTAAAACTACATGAAATGTTCACTTCCTCTGATATGCCATGTTCAAGGTCTCCTCTGTGCAGGTCGGGCGTATATGGAGCTAAATTACAGCCAAAAAGTTGGCTAAAAAAATATTTATTGTACCAAAATAAATAAATATAGCTTCATAATATCGAGGTACAATGGGCCCATGAAGTTTATTTAAAAAAAAATAAATTACCATAATATGGAATTAAATTTGGGTCAAAAAGTTTGGCTGAAAACATTTTCTTGAACTGGAAAAATAAATCAGCTCATATATGGAGCTACACTGGGGCCATTAAGTTAGTTTGAAAACATGCTTGAAAAAAAAAAAAAAATCCATAAAATAGAGCTAAATCGGAGCCATACTACATTCTACATATTTTTTGAAAATGTAAAAATTTTAACTGAAAATTAGCAAACTGAAAAAAAGATTTTTAAAAACTGAAAATATTTAGAACTGACAAATATTTTTAAAGTACGGAGCCCCTCTGATGACATGGTCAAAAAAAATTTTTTTATTGTGGCCACGAAGTAGTATTTCGTGCGCACGAAATACTACTTCGTGGCCATGTCATCAGAGGGCCTCCGTATAAAAGTGAAAAAGAAAAAAAAGATTTTCCAGGTTTTGTTCAGTTTCAGAAACTTTCTCCAAGTCCTAGTCCCTCAGCGTGGGGGGGGGGGACTTGGATGACGGTGACGCTTAGAAACTTAGACTAAATATTTCTATTCAGGAATCGTAAAAAAAAAAATGTATCGATACTGATTTTAAAACTAAAACAACATTTTTAAATGTTTTTTCCAGATCCAGTTTTGTGTATCGTATGAAATTAATTTACAGTTTCAAAATAACTAATCTTATGGCCACAGATTATCTCGATATTATGGAGCTTTTTTTTTCTCTCCATATTTTTAGAACAGACTTTTTTTGCCCCCAATGTGGCTCCATAGGATGTATTGCTCAGAGCAAAGAAGGTAAAGTGACATGAGGACCTACATGGAGACGATAACGAGCGTTAACCCTCTGGGGTTTTTCACAGTTTTCTCGTCTACAGAGACTTGCGCTGGCGCTTCATGAAGGACATGGAGTAGTCGCCGGCTGCGGTGCTCTTCTGCCTCTTCATCTGCACCTGCGACTGCGCGGTGAGCTGCAGTTTGATGGCGCTGGAGTTCACCTTGGCTGCACAAAGCAGCTCCTTCATGCCCTTCATCTTCTCGCTCTGAAACACGACCACGGGGCCGGCGGGGCAGGGAGACGCCAGCTGCTGGGAGAGAGGGGAGGAGACCGAGTCTGAGCCGGGCGACTTGGGCGTTCCTTCTATTTCTCCGGCCCGCAGACCCTGGGAGGAGCGGCGGCGGGCGGATCCTTCCCCAACCTTCTTGGGCTGAACCGGTGCTGCCGCCGCCGCCGGCTGCTGGGCGAGAGGGGAGGTTGGAGCAGCGGGGGGAGACAGGCTCTGGTCCTCCAGCTTGGACTCCCTCCTGGGGCCCCGCCTGCGGCCCTCCCGAGGATCCTCGCTGGACTGGTCGTCGTCGTCAGGGCACTCGGGCTCTTTGGTGATGATGGACACTTTCTGACGCACCTTTTCCATCAAAACAAGTCAGTTCTGTTAGTTCCAGACTAAATGAATTAAACTGCATTTGGTGATTACTGCCCACTGATACCGTGTGACATCATCTATTAGAGTGCAAGATGAGGAATCTAAATAAAAATCACAGATTTAGGAATCTACAAACCCTGAAGCTGCCAGTTCTGACCAGCAGGTGGCAGTAAAGCACCTAAAAGATCTTCACTAAACAACAAGAGGAAGGAGAAACAGACTTGTGGGTCCTCGTGAAACCTCATCCTCAGCTGTTGTTCTGGCCCCTCCCTCTTTACCCAGCATGCATCAGAGCAGAATTGTCCGTCCTCCAGATTGACAGCTATCCCAGCATGCACTGCAGCAGCAGCAGCTTCCAGGTTAGCGCTCACTTAGCTCAGAGTATTAAATTCAATGTTCTCTCATCTGTTGTTCTATAAAAGTACGTTTTAAGATCATTAGAGGCGAGAAAATTATACTTTAAGCTTCACTATATGGAACATTTACGGAATTAGTGCGTAATAAAAAAAAGAAAAGAAAAAGGCAGCCAGGGCTAACGTTGGCCCGTTCGCATTATTATTCCCCCACTAAATGAAAAAAATAAACTTTTATTATCTAGAGCGGCGGTTTTCAAAGTGTGAGGCGCGACTCCCCTAGGGGGCGCCAGAGCACCTTAGGGGAGGCGCGGTGCGAGGGAAAAAAATAAATATGGATTTACAAAGTTGGAACTGTGGGGTGCGCGTGTGGAGCGGGGATCAGTGGAAATGTTTCCCACCTTAGAGGATGTTTTGGCCAGAGCGGGGCTGAAGGTGGAGTTTTTACAGCATTTGGAGGGGAGACAATGGCAGTAGCCTCGTGAGACCATCCTGATCTCGCGAGTTTTCAAGGTTTCACTCGCAGATCAGTCTGGAGACTCTCCGTTAAAGATAATTTGGAGCCGTTCACCAAACGAACGTCCAATCAGCGTTGGCTTTGAGGCGGGTTGAGGCGTGACGCAACGAGAAGCGCCACAGTTCAGTCTAAAGAACATGGCGGCTTCAGCCGATGAAACTAGCGTTAGCGTGGCTATCGAGCAAGTTTTATCGGAATTACAGAGTATTTCTTCACTGAAAGAAGAGCAAAACACTGCTCTGGAGGCTTTTCTCAGAGGAAAAGATGTTTTTGCTCTTCTCCCGACTGGTTTCACCAAAAGTTTGATCTATCTTCGGCAGGCGTAGAGCTAACAGAACGGGCAGCGTTGCGAGGCAAGGGCTCAAACATGGACGGCTGGAAGCCTTCTACACCAAACCAAGCTTCTGCCGCCCTGGCGTCCTCTTCCACAACATCTTCGTCCCCGCTTTCCTCCTCTAAATAAAAAATGGATGACGGAGGAGACTCATCCACGACCTCCGACACTAAACTCTCCTCCTCTTGCGTGTTTCCGCTGTCCATAGCGTTCCTTGACAGCGTCGTTTCTAAGTCACCAATTTAGTGCTACTTGGTCCCAATGGAATTTCCCATTGGGAACCTGCTAGCACTAAGTTGCTAACTGGTAGCATCTTAGTGCTAGTAGGAACAGCCGCTTCCCTACGACTTTAAATGCCACTATAATCAAATTAAATAAATTTTAATGCCAAGTAAGGCCTTAATTTGAAAAAATACTAATTTAATGATTTAATAATTTTTAATGACCAGTAAAAAACCGTGGGTAAAGTTGTGATTTAAAGTCAAACGTGCGATTCGTAATAACGTTTTGGTTTATAATCCCAGATTTTTTATTTGCTATAAATTTGAGATTCTAACTCATAAATCTGTGATTTTTTTTAAATTCATGACTCATACTCCTAAAGGTCATGACCTGCGTCTTTAATCTGTGACTGTAAGGTGTGGTTATAATCTCAATCTGATGTCACACGTATCTGTTAGTTAATAGCAGAGAACAAATAAAAAATGACATCTAATCAGTTTTGATTTGAAGTTGGAGGCTGGGTTTCTCACCTGAGCGTCAAAGCGGCTCAGAGACTGGACCAGGTAGGTGGCCCAGCCCACATGCAGAACCGGAGTTGGACTTCCTTCCTCCCATTTGCAGATACCGTCATAAAAACGGAGCAGGTGAGCAAAGCATTCTGGGTCCTGGAGCGCCGAGACCGCCGCCAGCTGCTTGCTGTTCTCCTAGAGCAGGGGAACCAATCCGAATACAGAAAATCATCAACCAGTAAAGATCTGGAGACATTTTTAAACATAATCTGTTACTTTAAACTGAATTTAGCACTGAAATAAAATGCAGATGTTTATGCACCCATGTTATACACTGAATTTTACAATAAAAAAAGTGTTTTTTGAAGTAGAAAACAATCCTTCAGTTTGTTTTATAGATAATTTCCTGATTCCCATATTTTCTCAAACCCCTGAACTGAGTGTTTGTTATTTTCTTTCTTTTTTCTGTCTTAATGTTGGCAGTGGGCTTTAGGCTGCCCTGCGAGGCTTTAAACCTGGGTTTAACCGGAGACTAAGCCATTCTCAAGCACATATCAAGGAGCTCATTTTGAGCCTGGATCCAGATTTATTGTTGATTCTGTTCATGGTGGAGAATCCTGCTTCACAGCAGCAGGTTGAGCCAAACATCCTCTAAATGTTCAGGGTCATCTTTGAGCACGCCATTTCACTTTTCTTTCACCAGTTCACTACAGTTCTTCCAGCAGTCCACACTTTCTCTGCTCTCTTTTTCTCATGGTCTTCTCCTTCTTTCCCATCGCCCGGCTTGCCACAGGTTTGCCTGCTGTGTCTAAAAGTAGCAGCAGCAGCAACCCAGACTGACAGCTCATTGGCTCATTTGGATCACGTGCAGCCTGGAGCCGGACGCTCCCCAGGGCTTTACCGTATTAACAGGAGAAGAGGCGCAAGTGAATTTAGACACTGTCGTCAGACAGCATGCGGTAATTTATAAATGTTTTAAATCAGGTTGGGTCCAGATTAGCCAGCAGGTTGGGTCCGGATCCGGACAGCTAATCTAGATCAGGTCTGCGTTCACCCGTTAAAATCGGAAGTCCAGAAACGAGAGCTCACCTTGTCGTTGGCTTGTCCTGCGTCTCCGTCCTCCCCGGGGTTGTCGGCCGTGGCCGTCTCCTTCAGCAGAGTGGGGATGACGTCGTTTGCGATGTCGAAGAACTCCTTGTAGATCTCCTCGTCCTCACGGAAATAGTTGTAGCTGCAAGAAGTCAGAGCCGAACTTAGAAACGATAAATCAAATCAATTAAAGGCTGGTTTATACCCACAAAACAGGTCGTCTGCGTCGCAGTTAATGCAGATATACCCCGCCCCCTTCTGCAGACACTCTGCTGCACCTCTCCAAAATTACAGGTGACCGAAACTCTAGCTTTAGTGCCGTCCACCTAGCATGGCACATCGGGACGCTATCCCAGACATCGTGCAGGACGCTAGTTTGTAGCGCCACGGCCAGTCTTTGGGGAACACTCACGGGTGAACTCTCAGTCGTCCGGCGTTGGATGTGGGGTTGTAGATGGCGAACAAGCTCGTCAAACTGTAACACGGACACCATCAATCCTAGCTAGCTCCTGATTGTCGTTCTTGCGTTGTGGCGTGGAATAACATAGCGCAGACCAAGCCTCAATATTGGGCATAAATCAAAAATATCTGCGTCAAACCTGCGACACGCTAACTGCGACACACACATGGTTCCCACGGGTCCTTGAAAAGTCTTAAAAGGCATTGAATTCTTCAAAATAAAACTAAGGCCTTAATTGGTATTAAAATGTCTTAAATCAGTCTTTCGTAGGTCTTTGTTAAATAGGATTATTTTTATTACGATTTGTTTTTGTAATCTAAATAAAACATTAAAATTGACCTTTTTTTTATTTAAAATAAATAACTTGTCGCCATTATTGGATCCGTCCCGATAGCGGAACCAATAAAGCGTTGTTGCGGCCGGGACATTTGGGAGATGCACCATTAACTTTTTGTCTGGAAAATATGAGCAAGTGTAAATGTAACCAAAATTGTCTCCAGCCAAGAGTTTCCTCCATGGCTAAAACCAGGGAACATACATGAGGCTCAGTGGATTTAGTGCAAGAAGTCATTCAAGCTCAGAACGATGGGAATTAAGGCAGTGGAGTCGCACATGCGAAGCACGAAACACAAAGCGTCAAAATGGAGTTACGGAGAAACAGCCGGTATTTCTCAGTTTAGTTCCACCCTTGTCTCTGCAACGCCTCCACTTATCACCAAATCAAACATACTAAGAAAACCATACAAAGAAAAATAGCTGCTAAAAGACTTAGCACTGGTTATGTTGGGGCTTTAAAACTGATTTGTTTTGTTCCCTGCTAAAACAAAGTTTGTGAATTCAGTTAAATAATTGTTCAAATATATCTGTCATTTGTGTGTTTTTAGCTTTCTTCCTGTATGGGAAGCTTTTCAAAATCTGAAACATTAGTGCAGTGGTTTATGTTAAAATAAACCTTTGGGTTAAGTTGTAGCAAGCAGGTTTTTCTTGTGTTTCTTGTGAATTTGGTCTTAAATTTTTATTTGAAGTGGCATTAAAAAGTCTTGAATTTAACTTGCCTTATGCTGTAGGAACCTTGAGACTGCTGCGGGACGATAACCAGCCCCTAAAACATTGGTTATTTTATCTATTAATGGATTAATAATCAGGCAGCCAAAGGTTCCTAAAAAAAAACTTTTTATTAAATCAAACCGGGTGAAATTAAAACTTTCCACTAGCGGGGTTCTAGATAGAGCAGATTGGCAGATGAATTTTTCTTACTTTTATCTTAAATGCAAAATGTTTCTATATTTTTTTCCAATCATAGTGGGTCGTCTGTCAGCTAAAGCATGTTCACTGCAAAAAATAAAAAAAAACATAAATAAGTCCTTTTTTCTTAAGTGCATTTAAAAAAAAAATAAGGATTGAAGTGAGACATTTTGCCAATGGAACAAGACAATTTACACTTTAAACAAGAAAAAAACAACTGCATTGTCTTATTTCAAGTGCATAATAGCTAGATAGCTTATTTTAAGAGTAAAAACACTCATTCCATTGGCAAATCATATTATTAACCTGCTCAAATTAAGGGTAAATACACTTAATTTAAGACATTTTTACTCATTTTGTCATAGTCTTAATACCCCAGCGATGTCCAGTGGATTGTTCTTTTTACTTTTTTTTTAATGAATATGACCTGTATGACTGAGAATCTTCACCAGAAATCCTTTAACTTGCAGCATTTCTTCATATTTACAAACATGAACTGGTTCTCTATCATTTCAGCCACGTCGGGCGTCACAAAGAGCCGAAGGTCACAGATCCCTGGATAAGAGGAGAAAAAACATGAAACGAGTCCAGGTTCCATGTTTCCCTGCGATTGTGGAGCCGAAGCAGAGGAACAATGGGAAAGCAGGAAAAAGGAAGTGGCTAACTGAGAGGGAATGTGTGCGTCGGTGTGGCGCTGGTATTAATAGCTGCAGCTCATGAACGAGGAAGATGCCGGGCTGAACGTTTCCTCCAAACGAACCAGGAGGAGCGTCACAACGAGTCTCACTAGTCTGAAGGCTCTGGTGTCATGAGCCGTTCAACAAAAAGAATAATAATAAAAAAAAAACATAACCGAGGATTAAATAATTAATTTATCCACTTTAACTTGGATGCCAGCAAGGCTTTAATTTGAATCCATCTGTTAAAAATACAGAAATCTGCAGGAGTGATGGGTTGGCTTTTACCGCCACCTTGTGTTGATGAGGAGGAACTACCAAACAACCGCCTCTAGATGTTTGCTTTCCCACAATGCAACATTTCTATTGGCTTTTTAGACAGTCTGACTGCACAACTACGCCCCCTGCTGATGGAAACTAGAACCTGAATCGTTTGGCATCAAATTTAGAGATGAGAAGATTTGTTAATCCCTTAAACCCAGAGGGTCTTATAAGAAATTCCACATGTGGATTAAAGCAAGTCCATCTCCTAAACTATAAATTGGAAATACTAGTGTTTTTTATTTGTCTGATAGAACGGCATCTTTCAGGTGGAACCATGAAATGATTTATAGGTGATTAAACAAAGAAAAAATGAAAAATATTTAGCCTCGCCAATTTCCCCCCAAAAATAAACACCATAAAGCCTATTTGAAACTCTGGATGAACCTCAGACTTTATAGATCCACATCTTCACTATAAGTCAATCAAATTTGGACTGAATAAGTTGAAGCATGTTTGTTCCACAAAGGGTTTAGTGGGCAGTGTGGTAGGAGGAAATGGGATTTTAGCAAAGTGGTGCCAAATGTGCAAAAATGCATTTTTTTTCACTCATAAAAGGGAATCTGAACAGGCAAATATCCTGATTTCCATCATTGGAGACCTTCTGCATAAGATAAAAGCCTTTGCTCCTGAGATTTAGTCGTTGTTTCATTAACATTTACCAATAATATCAAACTGAATTGAAATTAAGAATAACAGCAGCTTATGTAACACATGCCGGTTACATCACCTGAAATGATCTCACAGTGACCTCTGACCCCTCCTTGGAAAGATCTGAGCCTCTAGTTTCCAATGATGGCGGCCATTAGGGGGCGGGGCTAAAATGAATACCTTTTGGGTGGAATTTTAAATCTAATTTTTATTGTTTACGCAGCTATAAAAACAAACTTGTTAGAAATAATTTAGAAACATGTTTTAGAAATTTTAAAGCCCCATTTGAAAGGCGTGTGGATGAAACACCATGTGACTGCGTTTTTGGCCATTTCTATAAATGGCAACAGTTATCCGATAAAAGAAGACCAGATGGACTGGATGGTCCACAGTTTTCTACATGGGGTCACCTGCTGGTCCCACATATTCTGACAGGAGACGTTTGGTAATAAAGTGGTTAGGTCACAATTTTCTTGCCCACTTTTATTCATCTGTAATGATTTAATCTTGCAAATAAACAGCAAATAGGAAATAAAAAAATTAAGAAATCAGCCAATGGGATTTGGCACCCACGCTTTAAGCAATCAGACGCCACAGCGGTACCTACCTACGCCGCCACAGTGAGATGGTTACTGATGTTTCAATGTTTACGTCGTCATTCCTGACTCTCTGAGTCTAAACCGAACTTTTTACCCCAAAAACAGGCCGACAATATAACATTCATGGGTGAGGACATCCTTTCAGGAGATTTTCATGAATTAATAAAACAAACGAGCAGATATTTGGTCTTTTATTCTAAGCAACAACCACCTAGAATTTCTAAAAGTAGAATGGGAGGCAGATCTTTCAGTTCTCAGGCTCCTCTCCTGTGGAACCAACTACCAGTTTTAGTCCGTGAGGCAGACACCCTGTCTACTTTTAAGGCTAGGCTTAAAACTTTCCTTTTTGATAAAGCTTCTAGTTAGAGTGGCTCAGGTTATCCTGAGCTATCTCTATAGTTCTGCTGCTATAGGCTTAGACTGCTGGAGGACATAGGGACCCCTTTTTCATCATTCTGCTTCATTCTATCTCTGTTCTCCCACTCTGCAGAATCTGTTAGTTCAATCTCTAACGTTCTGCTCTCTCTGCTTTTTCTCATAGTAGCTTCATCTGGTCTGTTCCTGTAATAAAAGTCTTCAGATGGCTGAATGCGTCCCTGCTACCTAGCTGGGATTCTGCTCTATGTTTATTCATTAAATACCAATAATAATCTTAACAGAACAATCAATCAGATTAATAATCTGACCCCTCCCCCCCCTGATGTGGACTCACTCTTGCATGACCTGCGCTGCCTCAGCCCAGGCCTTCAGAGCCTCCTGGACGTTCCTGTGTCTGTAGTGGAAACCAGCCAGATACATGTAGGGGTAGATGTGCTCGTTGTTGTAGAACTTCTGAGCAGAACCTACGGCCTGGAAAATGGAAACGGACACAAAGATGGTCAGAACGGACCAATGGGATCGACTCAGGCATGAAAGGAGAACATTTTTTCTACGTTTTTCAGGATCAGAACCACAAACTTTACAGCAAAGGAAATGTAGGAAATGTAAAATCTATAAAACCAGATTCCAAAAGAAAATAAAAAAGTGACAGCATAAAGAAAAAGTGACAAAAAACACACAAAAAAATTTGAGAAATAAAACGAAAAAAATAAAAATATGAAAAAAAAAAAAAAAAAAAAGAATTTTTTTAAAAATAAAAAATAAAACAATAGCATCCTGTTAGTTAAACTTTTGGAAAAACATTACTTTTTTGATCGAGAAACTTTTTAAAATTATGTTTTTAAACCATTGATTCTTCAAATTTTGTTTATTTAAATGCGTTCTTTGCTCTCAATAAGACTGTAATAAATGTAGCTCCATATGTGGCTGGAAAAGCAGACATGAAGGCTCAGAGGAGTCTGCACTTATAGTGCGTTATATTGGGGCCTAATGGGATCTGCAGACATAAAATGTTCAAAACGTGCAAAAAAAAAGTAATAACCTTCATTGTGAAAATATCAACCACTTTACTTTTAAGGCTAGGCTTAAAACTTTCCTTTTTGATAAAGCTTCTAGTTAGAGCGGCTCAGGTTATCCTGATCTATCTCTATAGTTCTGCTGCTATAGGCTTAGACTGCTGGAGGACATAGGGACCCCTTTTTCATCATTCTGCTTCATTCTATCTCTATTCTCCCACACTGCAGAATCTGTTAGTTCAATCTCTAACGTTCTGCTCTCTCTGCCTTCGGGCAAGTAACTTTCACATTTCATTTGCCCAGAAACAATTTTTACTTGCCCAGTATAATGTTTGATAAATATAGTTCCTAATGTTCATGTTTGTATCTATATTAATGAAACACGTTTTTTTGTTTTTTAAATGTTTCTTTGTAATTCAGTATTTTTTAAGTTTACAGGTTCCTGGTGTGTATATTAGAGACTGACATTTTTTTCGCGAATCCCACGGGTCACGGGATTCCCGAGGGATGGGAGTCAGTATTAGTAACGATCAGGTGATTGGGACGGTACAGGATTAAACATTAACGGGAGCAGACGGGAGTGGGAGCAAACCAATAGTAACTAAAAAAAAAAAACTAGGATCGATGCCAAAAAATGACATAGAAAGAAAAAAAATCCAGTACTGGCGCCGCCATTTTGTAGTTTTTTTCCTTGAAGCCTACACTATAATGCGAGTCAAAAAAACTACACAACCAAAAAAACCAACAGTGCTTCCGTCTGAGTTTTTCACCCGGGCTCAAAAGAAATTCAGATTCAATGGCTGCGTCTCAATTCGCAGCCAGAGTATTGGCAGAAATCTTATTAAAGACAACAAGAATGGGAGTGGTGCAGGAGCGGGAGTCATTCTGAATGGGAGCGGGATGGGAGTGGGAGTAATTTCACCAGGAGTGGGACGGGACAGGATCTAGATTTCTACTCTGGCCCGGGATCGGGATGGGACACTATTTTTTTCTGTGGGAGTGGGACGGGACAGGAGTGAAAATCCACTCCCGTGTCAGTCTCTAGTGTATATGCATGCGTGGGTGGAGGGTGAAATAGGTGGTGGGTGTGTTACTGTACTTACATTTTTTTTTGCCTTGTTATTGTTTATTAGCCTGCCAAGCTGAAAAAAAATGTGTCTGATTCGCGCCAAGTCCTGGACAAAAATAGCGCCATCTGGCGGAAAAAAATCACACGGCTTTTTAGAATCACGAGCCTTTTTCAAATCACGCAAGAATGTGTACAAAACAACAAAAATGGCGTGGACAACGCTTTTTGGTCGTTTTCTTTGAAGGTAGGTGATTTTTGAGTGATTATGCAAAAAAAAAGGAAACAGGAACACAGGTACAATATCGCTTTCTAGCTTGTTTGTCGTTTGGTAACTACATCAAAAATACCGCTAGGTGGACAAAAATCACGCCATCTGGCGGAAAACCACCCGGCTTACCGTATTTTCACGACCATAAGGCGCACCGTACTAAAAGGCGCACTCTCAGTTATGTGTCCCATTTCTGTATTTAACACACACATAAGGCGCACCGGACTATAGGGCGCGTTTTTTATATACAGGTACATGTCCTCTACTACCTTTAAATACCTCTACTGCGTATTTAAAAATACAGCGGGGGCAAAACTGAGTATGACTGTGCTTTATTCATGTATTTATTACAAAGTATTAATCAAACCTGGGAGCTGGCCGTGAGACAGACACATCGCAGATGACACAGCGCTGTGATCACTCCTAAATTAACTTAAAATCCTGAAACCTGCCGACGGAATATGTTCGCTTTTATTGCCGGTATCCTGGTGCCTGCAGTTTAAATTATTTAGATGAAAAACACCTGCCAGCAGCCGCGGTGAACGAAAGGATTTCTGCTGTCGGTGCACCGCTGGTATGTGGGGGTCTGAGCGCCTCCGACAGAAATAGATAATCTGGATGAACTGACTGCAATTATTAAGTTTTCAGGTGGACTTTCTCACTTAAAAACATAATAAAACTACTTTATTCCCACTGATCACAGCAAATATAGCTGCAAGATTTAGATTATTTAGATGAAAAAACACCTGCCAGCCGCTGCGGTGAAGAGGAGGAGACGCGCCCAGAGGCTGCTGTTGAATTAAGTTTTCAGGTAGAAAAATAGAGTGGGAGCAAAACTGAGTATGATTGTGCTTTATTCATGTATTTAAACCCATCAAAGTCATCATCCTCCGTTTCTGAATTAAACAGCTGCGCTAAATCAGACATGCCAGTTTCCCCTTCTTCGCTGTCAGTCACTTTCCGTGCAGCGCAGCTCCTCAGAAATAATGCCGGCTTTTGCGAAAGCTTGAACAACAGAGCCAGCAGACACGTTAGTCCAAGCATCTACAATCCATCCGCTAACGGTGGCGTAACTTGCCCGGCGCTGCCTTCCACTTATCCTGAAACTGTGGTCTCCGTCGGTCATCCATCGCTCCCACGCCGCTCGCAGCCTTACTTTGAACGGCCGCTTCACACCGATGTCGAGCAGTTGAAGTTCCTTTGTCAGACCCCCGAGATAACGGCGAGCACAGCGTTCATTTGATTCACCTTTTTTTTCACATCGGCTGTGAGATGGGCACGCAGCGATGGTGATGCGTGGAAAAAAACACCTGGTCTCCTCACATACACCTGCCTCAGCTACGCTTTCATCATCTCCTCATCCATCCAGCCTTTTTCATTTGTGTTAATATCATATGTCATCAGAGCGCTGTGTCTGTCTCGCTGTCAGCTCCCAGATCAGCTTCTCTGATTGGTTGATGCGGCGCGTCCAATTTTTCCATCTCGAGCAGCAGCAGCAGCGCGACGCGCTGCGCCTGCTGCTCAAAACGCGCTGCGGGACCTTTTGCTGCACCTATACGCGCTTCAACCATTGACTTTGCATGTAAACTCGCTGCTTCTGCTGCACCTGCTGGGTCCGGTTCACACCGATGTCGAGCAGCGTTAATTTGTTTCCCCATGTTTTTCACATCAGCTGTGAGATGGGCACGCATGGAGTTACATATTAACAGCGATGGTGATGAGTGGAAAAAAAAAACCCTGGTCTCCTTACATTCAGCCACTCTTTCATCATCTCCTCAATGAGGTGGTCTCAAAAGTCGCAGTTACAACACACATAGGGCGCACCGCACCAAAGGGCGCACCGCACATTTTGAGGGAAAAAAAAAGACGTTTAAGTGCGCCTTATAGTTGTGAAAATACGGTACTCAAATCACGCGCCTTTTTCAAATCACGCGAGAATGTGTACCAAAAAAAAATATATAAAATGGCGCTGGCAACGCTTCTCGGTCATTTTCATCGAATGTCGTTGATTTTAAAGTAATTTTGAGTGAGAAATAATTTCTTTTTGCGATCATTGTACTTGCCCAGCGGGCAAATGCAATGAAATTTGTACTCTCCCGACAATAAAATATATAGATAGAAAACTTTGAATCAATCTGACTGAATGGTCTGGTTAGATAGTAAAGATGACGTGATGTGAATTGGTGCTACAGAAATAAACTGAATTGACTCAACAGCTGGCGGCGTCTCAGTTTTACGGACGAAATGACTCTAAGTCCAGATCTAGGTGATCTCTTCATTGGAAGGATTATATCTATCGTTTCTCTAAAACAAAAAACACCAAACGACCCTGTGTTTCATTCCTCTGCTGCTGGGAGGCTTCAGAAAGACGTACCCTGAGATGGATTTGCAGCGGGGTCTCCTTCCCTGGTATTGGATCCTGATCTTCAAGGTCAGCTAGCGTCCCCATCGCCATGGGATACCTGAGAGCCAGAAACAGGAGGAGTGAGGATAAGGCAAAACACAGGAACAATAAGTGTGTTTCATCTGTTTCCATTTCAAACTCACCTGTCCAGATCGCCTCGATCGTACAGCAACCAAAGGAGTTTCTGTCATAAAATCAAAATATAGACTTATAAGAAAAGGAAAAAAGATTAAAACAGATTTAAGTTGAAAAAAAGGTTTGCTTTTGTTTTTTTATAAAATCTGAGAAAAAAAAGTTACCCTGAAAACATTTGTCAGTCCTGGATTTCATATTTTTTTATTTAAATTTACAGAAATAATGGATCAAAATTCACTGACCCCTCACTCGGTAAACGTAATAAAAATAATGTAAATTATTTCAATGTTTGATATGGATTACAAAAATAAAATCCTACTTATGATGCGGTAAGATTAAAGACTGATTTAAGACGTTTTAATACCAATTAAGGCCTTGATTTTTTATTGAAGAATTCAATGTCGTTTAAGACTTTGTGAGGATCTGCAGGAACTCTGCCTGACGCAGAGTTTCTAGAGTGAATTCTGCCTCGCTGAATTTAAACCGCACCTTGGACGTTCACTGCTCCTAAAGATAGTGTCTGAAACATCTTTAAAAGAGAGAGATCTCAGGTTTAGGTTGAGGAGAAGAACACAGTGAAGAAAGAATCCGTGTACGGTTCGTTCTTTGTTTTTTTTCGTTTCAAAACAAAAAACTGAAAAACAAAACAAGCATGTGGTTTTTCTGTTTTTCCTTTTTTTTAAACCTAAATCAAAAAAATGAAAAATCGAATTATTAGAAAATTAACAGCGTTTGACTTTTGTTTCGCCATCTAAATGAAAATAAAATACGGTTGTTGTTTTAATATGTAGCGGTATCGGAAATGAAGCAAGTCACCAAAGAAAAATCATTTACAGCGGATGAAGACGGCATCAAAACAAAACATTTCTAAACAAAAGGCAATGGCTGCACTTCAACCGTTCTCTGCATCGATTATTGAACTTTTTCATTACTCGGTAATGAGTGTCAGAAGGTTTTGTATGGAGCACAACTTGCGAAGACACAACAACGTCTCGGACGCGGAATTGGAACGTGGAATATTAAAGAGATCTTGTTGACGGTCAGATCATTAGCTCTCCATGAAATGCACCGATTCCCTCTAAATAGCACAAACGTTTCCCTTTTGGTAGTTCTAACTGAAAAAGTTCTTCTTCTAGTGGATTGAAATGGCGATTGGCAACAAATTGAAGGCGTACATCACCGCCACCTACTGGTAACTAAAAAAGTTATGTGTTGGGAGTTCAGGTGTTTCCGGTTCTGCCATAAGGTCCGTTGAATTAACAACAAAATAAAAGTTTGACTCACGCCTGTCTTGGGCTGCTCATATAGATGGTATTGTGGCTAAAAAGGCATTACGATGGTGAAGAAAAGTGTTTCATTCATACCCGCTGCTATTGCTAAACAGGTTGTACAGTCTATTGCCCGGTGATATGGACATCTGCTTCACAAAGTGAGCTTCACAAGCTTCAGCTGGCACCAAACAGGGCGGCCAGAGTGGTCCTTCAGCGCTCACAAAGAACAAATGTGGCTTCAATGCATAGACGGCTTTCATGGTTAACAGTTACTTATAAACTTAAATTAAGGGCGTTTCTCAATTCACGAGAACGCGAGTACGTACTCGCGTTCTCGTCAAGTCCGTTCTTGGCGAGAACGCAGGAAGAGCGGACTTGACGAGAACGCGAGCACGCAAGCACGTATGTGTATTGGAGCAGAAGCGTACTCGTGACGTCATCACATGAAACGTTGTTTAGCATTTCTTTAACAGTCAAAACTATTTATTCCCTACACAAAACATTTTGAAAACAATATTTTTAATTTCTAAAGCCTAAAAAACATTTAAAAAAATTACCGAACCGCAAAAAACCGCCATCAGAACGAGCGGTAGTTCACACGTAACTAAACCGAGAGAAGTGCACTACAGACGGTTACCCTCGGAGGTCTGCTGGTCACTCTGGTCCGCTCAACGTCGGACTTTTTTTTTTATTTCGCACTAACTCTGTAAACAGACCACACAGGGAGGCTTCAATGTATAATGTTATCGCCTCAAACGATTTCAAAACGTACTTTTGAAGAACAACAGCAGCAGAAAAGGGAATGTTTAACTTACCACTGTGAGCGCTGTCTGGAATCAAGCTGCGGCCGCGGGGCATTCTGGGGAAGCGGTCAGTCTGAAGAACGCACAAGTCTGCTCTGATGCATGCTCGATAAAGAGGCCGGGGTGAGAACAACATCCGGGGATTTGATGAGTTCTCGATCTGGCGTTCTTGAGAATTGGAACGGTACTCGGGCTGAGGCTGATGACGTGCCACGAGTACACGAGAACGCTCAAGAACGCATATTGAGAAACGCCCTAAGACTTCTCCTATTTATATGGAATGTTTTCTTTCAAAAACAGCCTCCATTTTTTGCTGAACATTTAGTCCTTGAAAAAAAAAAGTCATAATTATTTAACAAGGCGGGCACTAGGTGGAGACATTAAACTTAGGGATGCACGATATTGGGATTTTGGCCGATATCCGATATGCCGATATTTTAAAACTCATGTAGCCGATAACCGATATCGATACCGATGTTAAAGCTGGACAAAAATAAGTAGTCATTGAAAATAGCAGTTTTGTTATCCATTTCTGACACTTTGAAAAATAATATACTCAAATATATTTTCATATGCTGATATCAAATTGATTTTTAAAAACGCGGTATCGATCTATTTTACTTTCAAAATCTCGTGAAATTTCATCGTTCTGTTACAAACTCTCGTGATATTTAGCAAATTCTTGTGAGATTTTGTTAGTAAAATAGATCGATACCGCGTCAATATATCAACATATAAAAATATGGCAACATTTCGTGAATTTTCGGGGGATTTCGTAGCATAACGATGACATATAGCAATATTTCTTTTTTTTTATTTAGAAAGACAGATTTCCATTACGTCAGTAATCACAGCTTCATGCATTCAAGATTATAACTGAAGATATAGGCAGAAAGTCCAAGTGATTTTGTCCATGTTGCCTTTCTGGTATTTTTAACAGAATATCACTAACTTAGTTGTACAGATAACAAAAAATGAACAGAATTAAACTGTAATGGGGATTGCACCACCTCAAGTAATAAAAACCACAAAGACATTAGAGGGCAAGACATGTTTCAGAATAACAATCAAATGAAGTCGGATCTAATTGGTTTCACGTACTCAGTCCATTTGGACCAAATCTTATAAAACTTTTCTTTTTCTAATTGGAGGGAAAAACAGATCCTTTCCATCACATAAATCTGGTAAACAATTTCAATCCATTCATCAATAGTGGGTGGGTCTGCTTTCAACCATTTCCTGGTGATGGCCTTCTTACTGGCAGCCAGTAGTGTAGCCAGAAGTTTTTTGTCTTTGTTAGTCCATGTGTCCAACTGTAGATTTCCCAGGTTCAATGCTTCACACTTTAATGGAATACTTACATTGAATATATTTTCAATATGTTTGTGGAACTCTTCCCAATATGTTTTTAGACATATAGCAATATTTCATTAGTAAAAGAGATTGATATGGTGTTTTTAAATGGCAATATATCAGCATATGAAGATATTGGGATATTTTAATGTATCAATATTTTTTCCCTCGTCTTTAGAAGTTTTTAAGTCTTTAAAAAAGAAGTTTTTGAGGAAGAAGAAGAAGTAGTTTTTTTTTTTAAGACTTTAGAAACTCAGAAGCTGATCAAATATCGGGTTAAATATCGGTGGGGTGGCCGATGTCCGATATTCAGTTTTAAGGCCGATACCGATAGGGGGCCGATTATATCGTGCATCCCTAATTAAACTCCTAGAACAAACGATCTAAAATCCACAGTGTGTTATAGAGCCATATGTCACTGGAACCAACTGCCAATAAACACGGCAAGAGTCCAAAACGGAACAAGCTTCAAAAAGATACTGTCTTCAGAACTGCTGCAGATGATATGATGAACTGACCTGTGTATTTATATTCTATATTTGTTCCTATTATTGTGCAAAAATTTTTTTTTAATGGTTTGTTTATTATTTCTTTATGTGAGGACCCCAGGAAGATTAGTGGCCATTTATTTGGCAGCTAATGGGGATCCTAATAAAACTAAAATAAACTAAACAAAATAAAAGTTTGTCTTTGGTTTAAACATTGCAGTTAAAAAAAACAAAACAAAAACGTACCCTTTTTTACATTTTTGCAAATTCTGTTTCTCTAATTTCGTTTTAAAAACGGAAAAACAAAAAAAACCACATGTAAAGAACGAACCATACACGGATTAAAAAAGCCAAACAATTTTAGATTTAGTGGAAATAAAGGCCCCGTCCACACGAAGTCAAACCCTGGCCTAAACGCACAAATTTTTCACCAAACCAGCCTCTCATCCATACGAAGCCGGCGTTTCGGGGGTCTGTAAACGATCTTTTTTTTATTCAGCCTTCAGAGTGGGAAGATTTTGAAACGCCGTTTTCGCGTTTCCATCTTTAAGCTCTAACCGCATTTTTTTTTTTTTTTTAACACACATGCGTCATAGCGTCGCCTCTAAACACGCATGCGCGAGCGACACAGTATCACAACAACAATGGCGCCGCACTGTGTTGAATGGTTGCTGCTCATGCTACTCACCCTGCTGTCGGGCTTACAACAGAATCTTCTTCTTCTGGAATATCTCCAGGAAGAACAGAGCAATATGGACGACATAGTTCAGCACCTGAATTTGACTGAACCACGAAAATGGACCCGCAGGGCAACCATGTATAAATATTAGTGCGCATGCCCAACATTTCGTCGCCTATTTTTGCTTTGGCACCACAGCGCCACTTACAGGCCTGGCATACATTTTGCAGCGTTTTCATGCATTCCTGTGGACGCTCACATTTATTTTACGTCTCCGTCTTTGCGACAAACGTTCTGGAAAATATTAGCGTTTCATGTTCGTTTTGACTTCGTGTGGACGGGGTCAAAGTCTCCAAAAGCGTTTTTCTTGTTCTGATGGCGGTCATCAATCTGCCAGGAAGTAGAGGACTTAGTGCAGAGCTGGTCTGGTTGATTTTAACCTCCTTTAGCCAATCTATGAAACCTAGTAACAAACTTTGGCTCCAATCTGCTGTAGGTGGAGAAAAGTGCAGCTAAAACCGCCAGGAACCAAATAAAGGTTCTTGTCTCTGAAGAATCATCTATTCCTGCCTTTTCTGAGGTTTCCATTGTGGATCACAGCAAACATGGCGTACTGCGGGTTAGAGGTGGAGGCGCTCACCTGCTGTAGCTGCAGCAGCTCCAGGCTGTCGGTGTGTAGATCCAGTGAAGGGTTGATGGCGCAGACCATGAAGGCCACCTCCATGTTTCTGTCACACTTCATGTAGGAGCCCTTCAGGTAGAGCCAGCTCTGAGAGGAGCAGAGGCAGCAGTTATTCCTTCACCCGTCATCCCTCTAAAAACTATTAACTGCTGTGGATTTCTACATTAAAATGGAAGCAGGGATGTTTTTATAGCTGGTGCACCGATTGCAGTTTAACCACAACTAATATTTATAATAAAATAGGTATAAGAACATGGCTCCATTATCAATTATTAGTTTTTCTTACTGTCAGCGCTCCGATGAGGTCAGACCAGAAACTTATCGGCAAAAATGTCCAAATTAAGGAAATCGGGGCCGATCCACCAATCGGTGCAACACTTATTTTTCCAGATCCGCCCCTCATTCAGTTGGAAACGACGAGCTTTAACAAATATCCCCATAAAACGAGGTTCTGCACCCCTGGTCCTTAAGATGGTCTGTCCCTGCTCCAGCAGAGCCAATTAAAACCACCGAATAAACTCATTGAGTCTAGCCGAGTTAACGAGTTGCTTCAGCCGCTGTTTTCTTTTTTTTTTATTTTATAAAACCCCCCAATAAATTAGATAAAATAAATAAAGAAAGCAAAGGAATTCCTTACAATAATAAAATTTAAAAAGGAGCGGCGGCTGCAGAGCCCACCTTCTCGTTGACGCCGGCGGCGACCGTCTGCCCGCGGCGGTCCTCGTTGCCCTTCCCATGCCAGGTGACCTCGGCCGTCTCCTCCCCGTTTTTCCCGAATATGACCCAGGCGTGGTCTTCAGACAGCGCCAGGTGGACATCCTTCAGCCCCAGCACCTGACAGGCCGCCACCACGGCGAACGCCACTCCTGAGCTGTCCAGTTTGGTGCCTGGTTGAAATGATTCATAGAGAAAAATCACACAGACTGCTCAGATAGTTTTTCCTTCTCTTCCACAAGGAAAATAAAAAGTTCTTTCAATCATAGATGTTTATGTTCTCTTCACAAACCGTAAAAACCGTATAAAAGTTTCCCCCTCATTGACTAATCCTGAAACACGGTGATGCATCACAAGTTTTATTCTTAGTTCAGCTGCTTAGAAGTTTAATTATTATATAATAAATAAAGACTAAAATATATTATAGCTTTCCAGTTCCCACAGTTCCTGAATCCAGAAGCTGGGAATACTTATCCAGGCAATCTAGAGGGAAGCAGGAATCTAGAGGGAAGCGGGAATCTAGAGGGAAGCGGGAATCTAGAGGGAAGCGGGAATCTAGAGGGAAGCGGGAATCTGGAGGGAAGCGGGAATCTAGAGGGAAGCGGGAATCTAGAGGGAAGCAGGAATCTAGAGAGAATCTAGAGGGAAGCAGGAATCTAGAGAGAATCTAGAGGGAAGCAGGAATCTAGAGGGAAGCGGGAATCTGGAGGGAAGCAGGAATCTGGAGGGAAGCAGGAATCTAGAGGGAAGCAGGAATCTAGAGGGAAGCGGGAATCTGGAGGGAAGCGGGAATCTAGAGGGAAGCGGGAATCTAGAGGGAAGCAGGAATCTAGAGAGAATCTAGAGGGAAGCAGGAATCTAGAGGGAAGCAGGAATCTAGAGGGAAGCAGGAATCTAGAGGGAAGCGGGAATCTGGAGGGAAGCGGGAATCTAGAGGGAAGCAGGAATCTAGAGGGAAGCGGGAATCTGGAGGGAAGCAGGAATCTAGAGGGAAGCAGGAATCTAGAGGGAAGCGGGAATCTGGAGGGAAGCGGGAATCTGGAGGGAAGCGGGAATCTAGAGGGAAGCGGGAATCTAGAGGGAAGCGGGAATCTGGAGGGAAGCGGGAATCTGGAGGGAAGCGGGAATCTAGAGGGAAGCGGGAATCTAGAGGGAAGCAGGAATCTAGAGAGAATCTAGAGGGAAGCAGGAATCTAGAGGGAAGCAGGAATCTAGAGGGAAGCGGGAATCTGGAGGGAAGCGGGAATCTAGAGGGAAGCAGGAATCTAGAGGGAAGCGGGAATCTGGAGGGAAGCGGGAATCTAGAGGGAAGCGGGAATCTAGAGGGAAGCGGGAATCTAGAGGGAAGCAGGAATCTAGAGGGAAGCGGGAATCTGGAGGGAAGCGGGAATCTGGAGGGAAGCGGGAATCTAGAGGGAAGCGGGAATCTAGAGGGAAGCAGGAATCTAGAGGGAAGCAGGAATCTAGAGGGAAGCAGGAATCTAGAGAGAATCTAGAGGGAAGTGAAACGGGAATCTAGAGGGAAGCAGGAATCTAGAGAGAATCTAGAGGGAAGTGAAACGGGAATCTAGAGGGAAACGGGAATCTAGAGGGAAGTGAAACGGGAATCTAGAGGGAAGCGGGAATCTAGAGGGAAGCAGGAATCTAGAGGGAAGCAGGAATCTAGAGGGAAGCAGGAATCTAGAGAGAATCTAGAGGGAAGTGAAACGGGAATCTAGAGGGAAGTGAAACGGGAATCTAGAGGGAAGCGGGAATCTAGAGAGAATCTAGAGGTAAGCGGGAATCTAGAGGGAAGCGGGAATCTAGAGGGAAGCGGGAATCTAGAGAGAATCTAGAGGGAAGCAGGAATCTAGAGGGAAGCAGGAATCTAGAGGGAAGCGGGAATCTGGAGGGAAGCGGGAATCTGGAGGGAAGCGGGAATCTAGAGGGAAGCAGGAATCTAGAGAGAATCTAGAGGGAAGCAGGAATCTGGAGGGAAGCGGGAATCTGGAGGGAAGCGGGAATCTAGAGGGAAGCAGGAATCTAGAGAGAATCTAGAGGGAAGCAGGAATCTAGAGGGAAGCGGGAATCTAGAGGGAAGCGGGAATCTAGAGGGAAGCGGGAATCTAGAGGGAAGCGGGAATCTGGAGGGAAGCAGGAATCTAGAGGGAAGCGGGAATCTAGAGAGAATCTAGAGGGAAGCAGGAATCTAGAGGGAAGCAGGAATCTAGAGGGAAGCAGGAATCTAGAGGGAAGCAGGAATCAAGAGGGAAGCGGGAATCTGGAGGGAAGCGGGAATCTGGAGGGAAGCGGGAATCCAGAGGGAAGCGGGAATCCAGAAGGAAGCGGGAATCTAGAGGGAAGCGGGAATCTAGAGGGAAGCGGGAATCTAGAGGGAAGCAGGAATCTAGAGGGAAGCAGGAATCTAGAGAGAATCTAGAGGGAAGTGAAACGGGAATCTAGAGGGAAACGGGAATCTAGAGGGAAGCGGGAATCTAGAGAGAATCTAGAGGTAAGCGGGAATCTAGAGAGAATCTAGAGGGAAGCGGGAATCTAGAGGGAAGCGGGAATCTAGAGAGAATCTAGAGGGAAGCGGGAATCTAGAGGGAAGCGAAGCGGGAATCTAGAGGGAAGCGGGAATCTAGAGGGAAGTGAAGCGGGAATCTAGAGGGAAACGGGAATCTAGAGGGAAACGGGAATCTAGAGGGAAGTGAAGCGGGAATCTAGAGAGAATCTAGAGGGAAGCGGGAATCTAGAGGGAAGCTAGAGGGAAGCGGGAATCTAGAGAGAATCTAGAGGGAAGCGAAGCGGGAATCTAGAGGGAAGCGGGAATCTAGAGGGAATCTAGAGGGAAGCGGGAATCTAGAGAGAATCTAGAGGGAAGCGGGAATCTAGAGGGAAGTGAAGCGGGAATCTAGAGGGAAGTGAAGCGGGAATCTAGAGAGAATCTAGAGGGAAGCGGGAATCTAGAGGGAAGCGGGAAGCTAGAGGGAAGCGGGAATCTAGAGAGAATCTAGAGGGAAGCGAAGCGGGAATCTAGAGGGAAGCGGGAATCTAGAGAGAAGAGGGAAGCGGGAATCTAGAGGGAAGCGGGAAGCTAGAGGGAAGCGGGAATCTAGAGAGAATCTAGAGGGAAGCGAAGCGGGAATCTAGAGGGAAGCGGGAATCTAGAGGGAAGCTAGAGGGAAGCGGGAATCTAGAGGGAAGCAAAGCGGGAATCTAGAGGGAAGAAGGAATTTGCGACAAATGAAATACTTGAGATGTGATCAGTAACATTCTGTTCAATCTAAAACACTGCAACAGTAATAAATGCGTGGGTTTGAAGGTGCTACCTGTGATGAGGCTGAACAGGGACTGGATGTGAGCCCGGTCCTTGAAATAGGACCGGCTGAGGCTGTTCCAGATGACGTCAGACACTTTCTTCACCAGCTCTCTGCTGGACCCAGCGGACGTCCTCCGATACTGGGAAAGGTCCACCGCCCCGCGGATCTGAGCCGTAAAGCGTTCGTACAGGGCAGAAATCATCCCCAGCTCCACTGTGGGGAAGCAAGACGTGGGACAGTCCGGCTCCAGCGGCTCAAAGCGGACCCCCGGAACATTTATGGGTATGACCCTGTTCACAGCCAGGAAATGCTCCACGAAGCCCAGCACCAGTGAGAGGAGAGCTAGGTCGGGCTCGGACCTGCGGAGCTCGGAGTCGAAAAGCTGGACCACCCCGTCTATGCCCCTGAGAGGAAAGTACTTCTTCTGAGCCGTGTGCAGACCCATGGCCAAATATGGACTTCCAGGCGCAGCTCTGATCAATGATGGAGGTTTACCAAGAGGTCGAGTTCATCCACGTCATGGTCTCACCTGCAGGAGGACGACAGAGTCAGAGACACGACATTATGACAAGTGCTGCGAACGCTACCGTAAAATAACACCCATCATTACCTCTACCCAGCCTAACGACTCACTTCCTATGGAGATCAATTGGAGCCAAACATTTTCAAAAACATTTTTTTGTTTGATGCAGAAGAAAATACAAAATAAAAAAAAATATTTGAAACGTTAAAGAATACACACACACACACACATATATATATATATATATATATATGTATATATATATATATATATATATATATGTATAAATGCATGCACAATCCACAAATACAAAAATGCTAAATACCGTAATTATCAGATATGTACTTTTAATTCAAATTTTATGTAAAATCTTGAAATTATATGTAATATTTAATTACCATAACAATGGAATAAATACATGTTCATCATCAATTTAGCACTTTTAGCTCATCTATATTATTCTGCTCCATTAACACATTTTATTGTGATGGATTAATAATATATGTTATATTACATGATTTATAGACGTCATAATGACTATGCAATGTGAATTGCATGTTTAGATCTAAGTTAAAGTTAATCTACTGATGCTATGAAACAGCCACCAGTCTGTGTCAAAGTGATGAATTTATCTTTATTTTAAAATTCTTCAGTCCCCCTGAAAATGAGAACATCATGGTTTTTCGATGCTGCAGCGCACGGATTGTTTACATCGGGACCGGTCTAACTAGGGAGTACCAATATGGCGTCCGGTGGCTTCACTTGACCATCGGGCAATCAGAGATCCAGTGGATAAACGGATAGGTGATCATAGGGGGAGCCGCCGCGGCTAGCTGCGCTAAGCGCGGCTGGAGGCTGGGCGGCGGTGGGCGGGGCAGCCAGACAGCCGCCAGTCAGCGCCAAGCCGCGGAGCAGAGCTGCTTCAGTTCATCACAGCTCATCCCGGTCATTAATCACAAGAATCACACATAGAGAAGCCACATAGAGGAATGAATAAAGTCAGAGTGTTTATCACACCACGCGACTGACCGATGCTAACCTGCTAACTTTCCAGCTCTGAATCATTCAATACCTCAAAGCTTTGCTTCCCTTTCTTTTTTCTCTTATCTCTCTTCCGTTAGTTAATAAGTTAATTACGTCATACAATCGGAACCGGGAATTTAACCTTTTATCTTTAGAAAGTCTGTTAGCAGCGGGACAGACGGCGGCGGCTGCGCAGCTCCAAACCAGCTAACAAGCTACCAGGCTGCTAGTTAGCTAAACTAACCTTCCTAACCAAACCATCTCCGCTCACTATTTAGTGAAATACACCATCAAACTGGGCCGCTCTGTTGAATTACACTCAGCTCCTCTCGGCTTTCAGAATTAGCTCCCTATTGAGACATTACTTACCCGCGTTCTCATAGAGGAAGCCACATGTTTTTGTTTGTGTCCCCCTCTTCTTTTTACCGCGCACTTCGCTCTGCCCGAAAATTGCTCGGAGTGGGTACGACACATGACGTCACCGAGTCTCAGCAGATCTCACCGCGCTATGTGGAGATCTATGCACAGCGAAAGGGTCCATCCCTCTGTATGTAAATCTTAGCTCCGCTTCTCCCTGCGCCTCTTGGGAAATGTAGTTTTCAAAGCAGATCGTTAGAAAACTATCAAAAGAGGGCAGCATTGGGTTGTTACGACATAAATGAGCCCCAAAAATAGAACAAAAGGTAAGCGTTACATAATGGGTAATAACATAAAAAATACACTTTAATTTATCATTCATAGCACTATTTCATTAAAATGTATTAGAAAATGTAAAAATAAGCTGCCAATGTGAGGTTTATGAAATTATAAATAAATAAAACAACTTAATGTGAATAAAATACGCTGCATAATCTGTCCAAAGTCTTGCATAGAAAGACCGATCGTATTTAGAGCAGTCCTTCAACCATTACACCCATTCTAATGGATCTGCGCTGTCTTCTTCTTCTTCTTCTTCTTCTTCTTCTTCTTCTTCTTCTTCTTCTTGTTTTACTGGCGACTTGCAACCAAATGGAGAATTATCGCCACCTACTTGTTCTTATATATATATCCTTAAATCCTTAGGTTTAGTCCAGTTTGTGGAAGATAAGATGACATGATTTTAAGTACTGTCTTTCTGGATTTATTTGAGAAGATATTTTTAATGTCCAGTTGTTTGATTCCTTCATGTTCCAGTCCTTTCCTTAAATCTATTCTTTGACTTGCATATTTAATACACTCAAACAGCACATGTTCTATGGTTTCTGGTTGACTACACATGTCACATTTTCCTGTTGGATGCTTCCCAATAACATGCAGTGATGCATTTAGCCTCGTGTGGCCTAACCTAATTCTACTAAACATCCCCTGTTCTCTCCTGCATTTCCCAAGAGGCTCTTCTTCTCCCACTTTTTGCTGTATCCTATATAAATGTCTTCCTTTATTTCCATTATCCCATAATTTTTGCCACTGTATCTTAATTTTGCTTCGTATGTACGATTTGATTTCTGTTTTGCTAATTGGTACTTTTACTTCTACCTCATTTATCGACAACCCCTTCTTAGCTAACGAATCTGCCATCTCATTCCCTTTAATGCCACTATGTGCTGGAATCCATAAAAACTGAACATCAATCCCCAGATTATGTACTCGGTATAATGATAACAAATTTTCTAACATAATATCCTCCCTACATTTAGATACCGTATTTTTAAGACTAGTCAATGCTGCACTTGAATCTGAACATATTAATATTCTCAGGGGTTTGACTTCCTCTATCCAGCATAATGCCAACATGATTGCCATCAATTCTGCTGTATAAACCGACAAATGATCAGTTAATCTTTTAAACACCTTAACTTTTAATTCAGGAATGTAAAATGCACAACTTGTTTTTCCATTCTCTGGATTTTTTGACCCATCAGTGAATATATGTACATAATACCCATATCTCTCATGAATCAAAGTGTTCACATAAGTTTGTATACTAAACATGTTATTTCTTGAATTTATCTTCTTTAATAAAGAAAGATCAACACTAGGTTGAGGTAGTAACCATGATGGTATAGCTGGCATTAAGACAGTTAGACTAACATCCCAATTATTGATTTCTAACTCCTTGATTATCTGAATAATTCCCTTACTAAATACCTCCTTTTTAATTTTACTGCTTTCCCAACTTTCACTTAATATTCTTTTTGTTGGATGCATTTCTTTTTGACTTTGTAAATTAGTCCAATAATTTGCCCTCAACTGTTTCCTTCTAAGACTTAATGGCATTTCTCCAACCTCCACCTGAAGCGCAGATATTGGAGTTGATTTTACTGCTCCACAACATCTTCTCAACGCTTGAGCCTGAATTATGTCCAACCTTTTTAAAGATGAACTAGCAGCTGAATCAAAAACAATACAACCATAATCTAGAACTGATCTAATTAATGCAATATATACATTTTTCAACGCCATACGATCAGCTCCCCATATACTTCCTGATAAACACCTCATAATATTCAGTACTTTCTTACATTTATCTTCTATCTTATTAATATGATTTTTCCACGTAAGCAAACTATCAAACCACAACCCCAAGAATTTAAAAACTTTTACCCTTTCTAATCTTTGTTTATACAATTTCAGACAAACATCTTCTTTCACTTTCTTTTTCGTGAAAAACATGGCTTGAGATTTCTCAACAGATAATTTAAATCCCCATTTCAAAGACCAATCTTCCACCACATCAATAGAATCCTGAACTTTCTTTACAACATATTCTATGTTCCTTCCCCTTTTCCAAATTGCCCCATCATCTGCAAAAAGTGATTTTCCCATGTCAGGTTTAACGTTCTTATATACATCATTTATCATTATAGAAAATAGTACCGGACTAATGACGCTCCCCTGAGGGGTGCCGTTTTCAACTAAATAAGTGTCAGAAATATAATTACCCATACGAACTTGAATATACCTATCAAATAAGAAATCCTTTATCCAGTTATACATTTTCCCACCTATACCTATTTTATGTATCTTTATTAATAATCCTTCCTTCCACATCATGTCATACGCTTTCTCTATATCAAAGAAAACAGCTACTAACCCCTCTTTATTTGCTTGTGCTTTCCTAATATCTTTTTCCAGGCATATTAAAGGGTCTAAAGTGCTCCTACCCTTTCTAAATCCACTCTGAAATGAAGATAATATCCCATTTCTTTTAAATAATATGTTATTCTTTCTGTAATCATTTTCTCCATGATTTTACCCATATTTGACGTTAATGCTATAGGTCTATAATGATCAGGATTTGTAGGATCTTTTCCAGGTTTTTTAATTGGGATGATAATTGCTTCTTTCCACCCTTTTGGTAACTTACCCTCCTCCCAAACTTTGTTGAATAATTCTAATACTTTACCCATTGCAAAATCATTTAAATTTTCTATCATGGTATAACTTATATTATCCTTTCCAGGCGCCGTTCTTTTACTCTTACTTAGAGCCCTCTTCATCTCATGTATGGTAAATGCCTCATCTAGAGGACTCTGAGTATTTAATCTTTTTTCAAGTACTTCCGGAAATCTATCTAACGTTTGTTGTCTTCTTACTTTACCTACTTCTGTCAGATTATCTGAGCTATGAATCTTAATTATGAGCTATGAATCTTTCTTTACCAGCATTTCTGCTTTGTCTTTATTCTCCCACGCTACTTCTTTCCCTTTTTTCAGCACTGGCAGATCCTTATCATGTCTAATTCCCCTCATTCTTTTAATCATTCCCCAAACTTTATCTAGTGGTGTTGTTCTTCCAATAGTACAACAGAATTCTCTCCAATAATTCTTTTTTGCCCTTTTAATAACCTTTCTAACTATTGCCTGTGCCCTTTTATATTCTATCAAATTTGACATTGAATGATTTCTTTTCAGTTCTCTAAACTTTTTATTTCTATTTCTAATAGCTTCGGAACATTCATTGCTCCACCATGGTACCATTTTAACTTTCTTTTTACTTTTACTCTTACCAATTGCTTGTGATGCACCATTAGATATAGCTTTGATAATACTTTCATTGAATTCTTCCACCTCCCTTGTCATGTCAATCTTACCTCCTCATCACAAGCTCTTGCAAATTTACTCCAGTCCGCTTTATCCAATTTCCATCTTGTTACCCCATCAAGTTCCATCTTGACATTTTCCTCAAAATTAATTAAAATTGGATAATGATCCCTTCCAATACTATTGGATCTGCTCTGTGTTCAGGAATATTCTATCTGATATCTTTCCTTGGCGTCGAATATTTCAGCTTCAACAAAAAAAAAGTAGATGTAGAGTGTTTTGTAGAATACATATCAAACCTCATTAGCCATCATAATGAAAGTGTGCATGTTACAATGAGTTGTTAACATATTAACGGTTGCCTTTTTCTTTTTTTAACAATTTGAAAAGCTGTGCTAAAAATGTGACGCTGGAACTTACAGGAAGCTAGTGAACGCATCTCAGCGGACATTTTTTTTTTCCTTTACCCCTCCTCCATAATCTTGCCTGCCTTGTTTCCCTTTTGCTCTCAGAGCTCAGGCGTTGTGGTGAGGAGCAGAACCGAGGCGAGGTCACCAGCTACTCTCAGAAAAAGAGGACAGGAGCGTTTATCTGATTTTTAAGCGACAGACATTTCGGTGCCGCTCGTGCGTTGAGCTTCAGTAAAATGGATACTCAATCCTCCCAGATATCGTCGTCGCAAGGTCTCCCCGATGGACAGAATTCTGCTGCCAAAGAATCCAAAGTGTCCGGTAAGACCCCACTTAAAATATCGTTTGTCTTTGACAGATGAAGCCTACTATTATGATTTCGTTTGTTTTTATTGTTGATGTTATTATTGTATATTTATTTTTTTCTTTCATTTGATTATATAAATTTGGAGTTGGTCCTTTGTGTTTGTTTTGGCTGGCATCGTGAACCATGGGGGACACCTGTGATCGTTAACGTATAACCCCCCCTCCCTCCGTCCCCCACGCGTGTTCACTGTGTGATTACGACACTGAAGTTGGTATCCGATTGATATTTCCCGTCTAGGCTGGGAAAAGGGAATTCAGCTGATTTCTAACCACTTCCGGTCCGCCAGTTTTCACTCCATCCCACAGACTGTGGATAAATCTCTGTGCTGAGTCAAAATAACTGGTTAAAATAGTCCTGCTATTTCCGTATGGGGGGGGGATACTTGCTGAGGCGGGGGCCCCAAAAGAAGAAGAAAAGATTTGTCTCCTTTTATTTTTCGAAGAAAAATAAGAAGAAAATCCAGCAGTGGAATAAATTATCTTTGTGTTCTCCCTCATTTTCAGCAGTAAACGGTGAAACAAAGCAGCAAAATATTGAATATATGAATAGATTTTTTTTCTACCATTTAAAATATTAAATTATACCATAAATGTATTTATTTATTTATTTTAAAAATCCATAAATCTGGATCATTCTAATGAAGCAGCTGCACCAAAAATAACACTTTTATTGTAATGAAATGTTTAGATGAATGAAAAATAAGATCTCAGGGCCAGCATAAAAATAATCTGTCCTTTAATAACATTATAGTGAAATCTGATGGATGTTTTTCTAAATAGGCTGTTGTTATCTTGATAGGATGTAAAAGTTATTGTATATTTAGGAGTATTGAATCTAGCAGGCGATGGGCTCCAATCCGCATTCGAGCTTCAGCGGAGGCCGAAGCCTTGGCCTCCACATTTGGGTGTTTTTTTTTTTATCAGCAAAAGCCCCATTACCGTATTTTTTTTGTTTTTTTTATTTTTATGTCGCAGTTTTAGAAAAGCCAGTATGGCGGAAAACTTGGCGAGCAACCCCTCAGATCGAAGCCCAGACATGCGGGCTTGGCAGAGCCTGCTGATCCCAGCACCGACGGGAGGAGAGGCTGGGATCAGGAGATCTATAAAAAAATAAACAACTTTAGGTTTATTTGACAACAGCCGAATTGGAGTACTCATCCCGATACGCGATATTACACATTTAATAATCAGCTCACTGTTCAGCTTGTTGGCGGAGGAGCTAAGAAATCTAATTAGAAGGTTTCTAGAATGAGGTTTGTCGCGCTGCGCTGCACTGCAGATGTATTGTTGCCTGTGAAGGGAGGACCCCCCTTAAAGGGGAACTGTCTGTTTTCCTGTTTGCCTTCCCACGCATATTTACTAATTATACACATTCCCATCTTTCCTCTCGTGCCTGGTGGAAATTGGGTTCAGGTCACACCTTCTGGAGGAGCCTTATCATCACACATGATCTGTGCTCCTCTCACGCTGATTGACGGCTCCACCGTGGACGTGGGAGTGGCACTGTGTGCATGCATTGGCTGAGATTTCTGCTTTAAACTGCACACCTCAGGCTCAGCTGGGAGCTATGAAAAGCACCATTAATCAGGAGGCCTGTTGGTTCATAGGAGCTGTCTGTGAGGCAGAGATACAGCAGGGCGTGGCATCAGATGATGAGGATGACTTCTGTCTGTGAGAGGGAGGAAGATGAGATCCTTTGAAGTAAACTAATATCAAGCTTGATGTTTATATTTAGGGGGTAAAATGTCAATAACTTGGTTTATAGCGGCCAGGGTTGGATGTGCAGAGAGGTTCAAGCAGTCGCTCTTCTTTTGTTTCGATTCCCAGTACTGAGAAATCATTGTTTAGTTTGGACTTTTAAAAGATCCGTAGGTTTCTATGGAGCTAAATTGGGGCAGTTGAATTTGTCTCCAAAATATGCTTTTTAATGCTGCAGAAATTATATGGAAACTGAAAAAAAAAAACAAATAAGCTGAAGAATAAAATGTGAAACTACAAGGCACAGAGTTCTTTAAAGGAGAAGTTTGATCAGCAAGGAATGAGCAATGGATGTTTTTTTTTATACCTAAAACTAATAAGTTTGCGGTGATTTAATGAATATAGCGTTAATCAGTAAAAAAATAAAAGAAACAATTTTCATTGCGACCACTGAGTCTGGGAGCGGCCATTTTTGCCCCATATATAACGCCATAGGCGGATCTACTGGGGTGGCATAGGGTGGCAACTGCCACCCTAAATGACAGCCTTGCCACCCCAGCTGCCACCCCAGTTGGCGGTAGGGGTGGCGAGGCTTATAAATTATGGATCATTTGAGAATTACGACCGCTAATTTCCAATGTCGGACTGCAGTGAATGCAGCACGAGATGACACGAGAGTGACTGAGACTGATTGTTTTGAAAACCGAATGAGGCAAAGCGAGGGAGCCAGGGGTGATGGGGAGAGGAGACACGAGATGAAACAGGTAAAAACTGATTAACTATCTATAGAGAAATGAAATCATAATGAAAGCACAATGTTGCTAGCATAGCTGCAATGCTGACTTTGAGATGATAAAAATCAGGTTGCAGAACGTTATTTCTCTATCTATGATGTTAGTTAGGCCTGACGTCTCAGGTTCAGAAAGACATATTTGCGGTCAACTATGACAGAAAAGAGACGATCAAGTTTGGTTGTACTCAAATCAAAACGCACAAAGGCTTTGGATCTAAATACATTTGTGAAGCGTTTTGCTGAGCAACATGGAAATCACTGCATTCAGCTGTTATAGTCATGGTAACTTTATGTTCTGCTCTCTGGTGAGCCTTTACAGAGCTGTTACATTTTGCTTTGGCACCTGAGAAAATCTGATATTTCCTTTAATAAAACCAAAAGTGTTAAAAGTTAAAAATGTGACACTGGTGTGAATCCTGCTTAATATGAAGCACTGTTGTTGTTTCTTTTTTTGTATATATAATATGAAACTATCCAGAAATGACCTGTATGAACCTACTCACAAGCAAAATGTATTTTTATGTTGCTTCTTTTCAGATTTGTGGAGATTTTGATGTAACATACAGAACCCGCCTTTTTGTTGATTTGTTGATACAGCAGTATGGAGGACCAAATCTGCCATATTTAAAAATAAATACAGAAATAAATAAATGCTTTATAAATAAATAAGCATACAATTAATTGCCACCAAAAATACAAACAACAAATAAATGTAAGTAGAAATTAAATTATACAGCTAGTCATAAAGGTATATAACTCTTTTAATTGGCTTCTTTATTTTTTTGCCTTTTTAATATTTACCTTATTTATTTTTTTGTCATTTATTATCTTCAACTTGATTTTTTAATTACTTATATTTTTAAGTATTTATTTATGTGCATGTTATCATATTTTTGTCTGTTTTATTCTTCCTTTGTATTTTTTTACCCTAGTTATTTCTTCGCCGCTATTTCTTTCTGCCTGCCATTTTAACATTTCTGCCTGCCATTATAATATAATTTCTACTTACATTTATTTGTTGATTGTATTTTTGGTGGCAATTAATTGTATGCTTATTTATTTATTGAGCATTTATTTATTTCTGTATTTATTTTTAAATATGGCAGAGTTGGTCCTCCATATACAGCTCTATCTACAGCATATTTACATGCATGAAATGTCCCTTTCATGTTGCCTTAACTGCTGTATGTCAAGTTACTGAGGAACAAATGGGGTAAATGTGTGTTCGGAGGAAACCATACATGGATGTCTGGTACCTTGTTCGGGTGCCTTGACCCATTTATTTCTACTGTGTAGTTCTGCTCACTTTAGTCCAGCTCAGTCCATAGATCTCTGATAGGTAACTTTTTCTTTCTATAGTTTCTTCTTGTGCAAATGCTGCAAAGCTGCCTCTCTGACAGTCAATCTCACACATCTGCGACTCAGTACCTGTGTCTTACCTTAATACCTTTCCTGTCTTAAGGCCCCTCTAGAAGTAGTGTTATCATTCTTCTATCTCCTATTAAGTGAGATCTCATTGTACGATGTATTACCAATATGAACTGTTTCACATGAAACACTAGTACTGTACATACTATTCTCACCAAACTGTGATAACTGTGATTAAATTCAGTGTAAACAAATGCCATATGTTGCCACCCCTAAAAAATCCCTGCCCCCCTCTTGCCACCCCATAAATATTTTTCTAGATCCGCCCCTGTATAACGCCATCTTCAGGCAGTGACGTCACGGTGCGGTAAGCCTAGCGCCATTCTACCTTTAAAGTTTGAATTCTTAAAAGTTGCAAAAATCTATTGAAAATGGAAAATCTGCAAGGCATAGATTTCTTTAAATTAATCATGTAAATAAAGAGTGTCAAAAACCTTTTTGAAATAAAAAAAATGTGTATACTAAAAGGGACATTTTTGAGAGTGAAAAAACGTTTTTGTAAATTAAGACAGATTAAGACTAAATAAACAAATAATAAAGAAAGTATTGAGAACTGTTTAAAATTACTTTTTAACATTTTTTTCTGTCTCAAAATGCTGGTCCCCTTTTTATGCCTTTTTGGTCAAGAAAATAAACAAATATTTCTGAACAAACTTTATGGCCCCAATTTAGCTCCATATGTGATCTGACATCTAAGATCTCTATCAGCACATAACACTTTGCTTCTATTTAAAGTTTCTGCAACCAAGTGGTTGGTAATAAATGGGTCTGTTCCTATCATACTTATTGCTGACTCTCGTACTTCGTGGAACACATTCTAATATTTAAAACTGCAGAATAAGTAATAAAATGATGCAGGATTCATGCTAATAGCAAATCAGGGCAAAATCTGTATCGGCAGATATTCAAAGCTGGAATATTGACATCGTAGCATCGTACTCCCCAACTATAATTATCCCTGTAACTATTACTGAGGTGTAATAACAGGAATATAAATATCTTAAATCTATTATTGACCCAAGTATTCATATTGTTG